AAAAAAAAAAAAAAAAGAACAGCTAATCTTTTAGCTTTAGTTTAAAGATGGAGACACAAAAATTTTGGTAGGCTGTAAAGCTTACTTCAGGCACACCAACGGGACAGCTGAGATCACACTCAAGTAGCCTGACTCTTAACCTGCTCCTTTCTCAGCTCCAGAGATGTGTGAAGTGTGGGGGTAGATTTGCATGTAGGGAGAATATAGGTCTGGAATGTATGTATCTAAGAACTGGAAGGAGGGCAAAAGGGAAAGGGGACAAAGAAAAAGAAAGAGAGAGAGAGAGAGACTGTGTATGGTGGTGGTTTAGGGGAGACATCACGCCGTTAAGGTTGGGAAAGGAAGGCAGTGTTCCAAGGCCAATGTTAACTGACCCCAGACTGGATGGATCTGAGCAGGTTCTAGAAGTCACAACAAACTGTGCCTACTCTGTTGTTCCCTGCCCATCCCCAGCATGCAGAGGCCCTAGGGACCACCTGGACAATACATGTCAATGTGGGACAAGGGCAGGGTAGGTACCTGGCGAGCCGCCTCCTGACACTTCTGTATGGAAATCTCATCTGGCTCTCCCTGGTACTCCGGCACTTATCAAGAAAACAGATACACAAAGTCAAGTCACAGGGAGACAAAGAAATGGAACCATCTTTTAAAAATAAAATGAAATGGAGACATACAGTCAATTTTCTGTGCCACCAAAGTGCATGGAAACTTATCTCCTAGAATTTGAATGACCTGTTCCAAAAATGAAAGAACATTTATCACCATCTGCTAATAATTCACCATTACTACATGAGCTATCATCTACCTTTCCCATCACTGACTTTCCTACCTGTACCCCAAAGCTTACCAAGTTAGGCCCATGAGCTCCACCCCAGCTATCAGGGTCCCACCCTAGAAAGCCAGCCCCCTCCACCTTACTTCTCTATTTCTTCTACTTTAGACCTCTGCTTGTGCTAACCACCCCCTCCCAATCCAGAACACCCTCTTTCCTTCTCAGTGCTCCCGGAAACCTTATCTGTCCTCCTAGGCCTGGAATACCCTAGCAGAGGTTATTCAGGCCTGTAACTTGAATGGGAAAAAATACCTCTTTATTTTTACTAACCCTTCATTGAAATTTTGCACCTTTCCAATTACGAATAAAGACAACAAAATAGTAGGCGGTACCTGTGGCTCAAATGGGTAGGGTGCCAGCCCCATATGCCGGAGGTGGCGCCAAAAAAAATAGTATTAGCAGCTCCTGTGACCTTTTTTTTTTTTTTTGAGACAAAGTCTTATGTTGTTGCCCTCAGTAGAGTGCTATGGCATCAGAGCTCACAACAACCTCAAACTCTTGGGCTCAAGTGAGCCTCTTGCCTCTGCATCCCAAGTAGCTGGGACTACAGGCATCTGCTACAATGCCCAGCTATTTTTTGGTTGCAGCTATCATTGTGGTTTGGCGGGTCCAGGCTGGATTCAAACCCACCAGCTCAGGTGTATGTGGCTGGGATTACAGGTGTGAGCCAGTGGGCCCAGCTTACGTGTTTTTAGATGTGAGAAGGCAATGTTCTCAGCCAGAGGTTTGGGATCTGGTGTGCACCATCCCACATGGGCTCTGTTCACAGCAGCCCTGCCTGTCTGCTTGACTGGTCTGATCCCAGAATCCCAAACCTTTAATCCGCACAAGGCTCTGGCTCCTGAGGAGGCAAAAAAATGCCATCTGTCCCTGTGCTAGGGACAAATGAAGTTTCTCTCAGAACTGCACCTCACTGGTCTGTCTTAAATATAATCAGTGGATGTCATCCTCTAATCAGATGGATTAGATCTGATCTTATCTCATGATCTTATCTCCTTGGCTGTGGCTGACAGAAAAGGGGCTGATGTCTGGCAGAAGCCTCCCTGTCCTCTCCACCAGCAAGGGACAAAGCAGGAAAATCCCAATAGGTCTAGGGATAAGCAAATCTACAAGGACAGGATAGCCCCCAGTAGCATCATAGCATCGGGAATCCTCAGGTCCTGTGGGACACCATAACCTAATTAGACAAAAGACACATGGTGGCTTACATAAGCTCCCTGTGTGTCTGTTACTTGCAACCAAAGACGTTCTATAAACTCTGAGAGTCCTCTCAACAGCTACAAAGTTCCTGCAGCAGAAGTTCGGATCCCACCCCCTCATTGTGTTTTTTTTTTTTTTTTGAGACAGTCTCACTTTTCGCTCTCAGTAGTGTGCTGTGGCGCACAGCTCACAGCAACCTCAAACTCTTGGGCTCAAGCGATTCTCTTTTCTCAGCCTCCCAAGTAGCTGGGTCTATAGGCGCCAGCCACGACGCCTGGCTAGTTCTAGAGTCGGGGATCCTGCTGTTGCTCAGGGAGGTGTAGAACTCCTCAGCTCAAGTTATCCACCCGCCTCGGACTCCCAGTGTTGGTATTGCAGGTGTGAGCATCGCGCCGGGCTCCATCCCTCCTTTACTTCTCTCTATAACGCTGCGAAGCAGACGTCCCACATTATCCCTATTTCACAGATGCAGAAAGAAGCTGGAACATTTCTGGACCGTGGTGGGGGCGTATATTCAGTTTGGAACCCAGTCCCACGCCCTTTCTGGCCCTAGCAACCCCCAGACGAACAGCGGGACCTTGATCAGTCCCTGAAAGGTATCGAGGCCCCGATATGGGGTCTAGCTCAATAGTGATCTTTGAGAAAGCAGCCACTACTCTGGCTCCCCCAGCCGCTGACCTCGCAAGCCCTGTGCTGGGATCTGTCAGGCCCTTAAACTTTCGCCAACCGCAGGGTGTCCTAGGCCCTTCCACTCGGCGGGGTCCCGCCCCATCTTTCGCGAGACAAGCACACATTTCCCCTCCACGCTTCCCCCCACGTGCCTCCCTCCAGCTGGAAGCCCCCTCTCTATTCCCAGCCGCCTCCCGGTGGGCACCGCACACCCTCGCGACACCTCCTCCAGCTTTTTGGAGTTCCCTGTGACAAACACGATCTTCTTTCCGGCTAAGGAGGCCGCCATGGTGAGCCCCGGTTATCCTGCAGAACCACCGGAAGCCCCTCAGCCTCCACTCTTAGGACATTTCCGGCTGGTGGCGGAAGAGGGCGCCCTGGTTTCCGGTCTGAGAAGCCTGGAAGGCTGATTGCGATACCTAGACGCGTTTGGGGACGTGGGCTTGCGTTGGGTACTAGACGTCATGCATCTAAATTGCTGGTGGCTTCTCAAGACTGGAGACTTTTAATATGAAAGACTCGCCCCTCCCGCCTAGGGATGCTATGTTTGATACTAAAAAGGACCACGTCCACTCCTGCTTTCTTTTCTATGATGGGGGCTCCAAGGGAAGCAGACACTGGCTCTGTGCTCTGAGGGGTTTGCGCTCTCCTAGACTGTGTCAGAAAAAAGTCTTCTAGGCAAAAGCTCCGAAGTCTTCATCCTGACCTCGTCTTCAGCTCCGCTCCCTGAGCTCTCCGTGCTGTCAACTCTGCATTATAATTTGCATCCCGGACACTACAAGGAGAAGGATATGCCCCCAACAGACCCACCTTGAACAGGCCTTGAACCTGAGCTGACACCTCCATGAGGCAAATCATCTGTCTCCCGCCTTCAGAGATTTAGCACTCTGCCTGCCACCTGGAACCCTGTAGCAGTAGTTCTTGAATAGCCACCTCTGCCCATGCACAAGAAAGGGAGGGAGGGGTCAGTGTTCTTACCAGGCTTTTCAAAGTCATTCTGATGCTCATCAAAGTGTGGAACCCACTTCTCTGAGTGTTGACCTGTTTTCTGTTCCTTAAGTAGAAATGCTAACCATCCACTCAGGTAGAGCCCTTGGAGGAGTGGCCAGGAGTGGCCCCTTGGGGGCAGAGGAGGGCCAGAAATGCAGGAGGACGTCAACTACCCAGTTAAGCAAAGGACAGTTCTTGCACTTAAAGAAAATAAAAATATTGGCTCGGCGCCTATAGCTCAACCGGCTAGGGCGCCAGCCATGTACACCTAGGGTGGCCAGTTCGAATCCCCAGCCCGGACCCGCCGAACAACAATGACGGCTGCAACCAAAAAGTAGCCGGGCGTTGTGGCGGGCGCCTGTGGTCCCAGCTACTTGGGAGGTGGAGGCAGGAGACTCGCTTGAGCCCAGGAGTTGGAGGTTGCTGTGAGCTGTAATGCCACGGCACTCTACCCAGGGGGACAGCTTGAGGCTCTGTCTCAAAAAAAAAAAAAAAAAAAAAAAAAAAAAAAAAAATATTTATCCTAGACTGCCCACAGTAGCTCAGGCCTATAATCCCAGCACTTGGGATGCTGAGGCAGATGGATTTCCTGAGCTCATGGTTTGAAACCATTCTGAGCCAGAGCCAGAACTCATCTCTAAAATGAGCCAGCGTTGTGGTGGGCGCCTGTAGTTCCAGTTACTTTGGAAGCTGAGGCAAGAGAATCGCTTAAGCACAGGAGTTTGAGGTTGCTGTGAGCTATGATATCACAGCACTCTACCAAGGGTGACAAAGTGAGACTTTGTCTCAAAAAAAAAATTCTCTCTAAAATATTGCAGGGGACATGATTACATTAATGTACACAGCTATGATTTAATAAATAAATAAATAAAATATTGCAAGGGAATACTCTGCCTCAGCCTCTAATTGCCTGATAGCAGGACATAAATCCTCTGCTAGAGACAGCTTATAGGCTCAGAGAAGGCACCAGCAGGCCCCAGAGGAATGTGGGTGATTCTACATTTTTCTGCCTTTTAAAATAATAGAGCTGCTTTATCGTTTGTCTTGTCACTATATAAAATTTATGACTATATTAAAATACTATTTAAGCAAGGCCTCTAAGCCACTGCTTTTTTTTTTTTTTGTAGAGACAGAGTCTCACTTTTTCGCCCTCGGTAGAGTGCTGCGGAGTCGCTCCAGCAACCTCCAACTCCTGGGCTTAGGCGATTCTTCTGCCTCAGCCTCCCAAGTAGCTGGGACTATAGGCGCCCGCCACAATGCCTGGCTATTTTTTGTTGCAGTTTGGCCGGGGCTGGGTTTGAACCCGCCACCCTCGGTATATGGGGCCGGCGCCTTACTCACTGAGCCACAGGCGCCTCCCTAAGCCACTGCTTTAAGAGAAATACTTTTTTTTCTTAAGAGACAGAGTCTCACTTTGTTGCCTTTGGTTGAGTGCTATTGCATCACAGCTCACAGCAACCTCCAGCTCTTGGGCTTAGGTGATTCTCTTGCCTCAGCCTCCTGAGCAGCTGGGAC